AAACGCAGATAAGCTGATGCATATACCAACAGGTCTTTATTGTCTGGAGTCAGCTCCTATATTAAGCGCCCACTGCAGAGCTTTCTGGTCTTGCACTGTGCATATCTAATACCAGTTTGTGATGTTTGCAGTTACGATTCTTTCTATTGCTCCCCTGTAGAAAGAATTTCACTGCAGGCTGATCAGTTGTGTGTTTTTGCAGCTCCGGCTCGGATCCTGACCTTCAACAGGACCGTAACGACCCCCTGGATGAGGGACATCTTGCTGCCATGTAAGGCAGTTGGCGATCCTTCACCAACCATCAAGTGGCTGAAGGAGATGTGAGTAAAATACTAATCTCTGAGGATCTTTTCACAGCTGAATATTTGTGGATATTGTCTCCTTAAAATATCCAGTGTCTGTGTGGCACACTAGAAGCTGAAAGTTAATCGTAAATGCATCTCTGCCTCAGCAACGGGACCCCAGCACCCGTTGCGATTGACAGCCGGCGCAGCGTCCATACGAACGGCAGCCTCGTTATCCGCACAGTGAAAGCAGAGGATTCTGGGAACTACACATGTGTGGCCAGTAACAGCTTTGGGCTGGACAAGATTGTCCTAAACCTCCAGGTTCAAGGTGAGAATGACAACGTGGGCAGAAAGACAAAAGAATGACACGTTATCATCTTTTTCAGTGCTAGATTTCTTTCTTTAAATCCTGCTGTTTCCTTCAGTTCCACCTGACCAGCCTCGCCTCACAGTGACCAAGACAACCACCACCTCCATCACCCTCTCCTGGATCCCAGGAGATAACGGCGGCAGCTCCATTAGAGGTCAGAGAGACTCTACCTGTCCTTTTCTGTCACTGCTTTTTTTACCATTTGATTTACATTCATGTCTCCATCTGTGCCACCTTCAGGCTACATTTTGCAGTACTCAGAGGATAACAGTGAACAGTGGGGTAATTTTGCCATCAGTCCAAGTGAGCGCTCTTACAGGCTAGAAAATCTCAAATGCGGCACCTGGTACAAGTTCACCCTAACCGCCCAGAATGCCGTGGGCCCCGGACGCATCAGTGAGATCATCGAAGCAAAGACCCATGGGAAAGGTATGAACTGTTCTTCTTTAAGGGGCATGTTACAGGTTAGTCGTTGTGCAGCCTCGACTTATTTAAAAGTTAAAATACTTAACAATACAGCAAATGATTGGAGTGATAAACACGTTGAGTGCGTGTTTTAAAAGGTCAAAGAGGTTTTAACTTTTTTCCCTGAGAAATAATAAAATATACGGTGTGATCAAACCTGTAAAGAGCCAAAACTTTATTGGATTTAAACCAGACCGATCCTTCAAAATTCTCATGTATGAGCAGACTGCAGTTATTTTTAGATCATTGCCTTTTAATTATCCTGGATCTTCTCCGGTGTGTTAACTTAATTTTCATTTTTTGGAGCAATGGAAACAACTTTTTAGTGTACTTTGTGCAAACACACAATGCACTCCCTCATCGGGGCGTTATAGTAGAAGCTTGAGCTGACAGTGTCACCCTGGAGAATAAATTCTCATTGTGGACTCCTCAGCTGTGGACTTTCTTACAGAGGTGTGGACTCGAGTCACATGACTTGGACTCGAGTCATTATTTTTATGACTTTAGACTTGACTTGAAAAAATGTTCTAAGACTTGTGACTTGACTTGGACTTTTACACCAGTGACCTGGGACTTGAATTGGACTTGAACCGGTTTACTTGAAAA